GAACTACTTATAGTACCTATAATGTGATCTATCGTATCACTGAACTACTTATAGTACCTATAATGTGATCTATCGTATCACTGAACTACTTATAGTACCTATAATGTGATCTATTGTATCACTAAACTACTTATAGTACCTATAATGTGATCTATCGTATCACTGACCAACTTATTGTACCTATATTTCTCTTGTATCACAGTTGAGCTCATTCGCTCATGTCAACCACATTTTTATGTTGGGAAAGGTTTATATACGGCTCACGCCCATAGAGCCGATCCCTAGATCTGTCACTGATAAGTGAGGTAAGCATCTTTATGGTTCATGTTACTGTTAATATGTACGAGTGATTTTTGTATTAATATTATTTTCCACACGTAACATTATCTTTCTTGGACCTTCTCTCTCTTGTCTCATTGGTTTTTTTATTATTATTTTCCACACGTAACATTATCTTTCTTGGACCTTCTCTCTCTCTTGTCTCACTGGTTTTTTTATTATTATTTTCCACACATAACATTATTTTTCTTGGACCTTCTCTCTCTCTTGTCTCACTTGGTTTTTTATTATTATTTTCCACACATATTATCTTTCTTGGACCTTCTCTCTCTTGTCTCACTGGTTTTTTTATTATTATTTTCCACACGTAATATTATTTTTCTAGCATCCTATGGTGGAACAACAGTAAGTTTACAGACTTCAATCCCTAAAATCTGGGGTTCAATTCCCTTCAGTGGACAGAAAAGATAGCTCAATGTGGCTTTGTTCAGAAACAAACAAATGGACAAATCCTTCTAGCAACTTGTCCTTGTCTTTTGTTTCTTAACATTTTCCACAAATAATATTTCTTACAAGTAACATTATTCTTCTAGAAACTTCTGCTTGTCTTCTTTTTGCTAATATTTCCCCAAAATAACAGTATTCTTATGGTGGCACTTTCTATGGCACTTTCTCTGTAGTTTTATTAATAATGAATTTTATCCTTGATTTAGAATGCAGAGAATATTGTTGAAAGTTTTGACAAGTGAATTATCTAGTTTGCCAATGTAATAACATGTTTTACATCTTAGGTGAGCCGCGAAGCTCTCGAAAAACGATATAAGCAAGGCTGGGTTGTTGAAGTTGAGGATGACATTGATAAATTAACTCGAAGGATTCGGTAATTATTTCATATATTTCTTCACAGTCTTCTTTTCTTTTATCTTTTTTTAAAAAAAATATTAAGATATTCATTAATGCATTCCCTGTTAGGTCTTTTAAACATTTTAATTAATGAAAACTATATAAGTTACAATTAATTTTTCTGACACAAGTTGCACAAGAAAGTTATCTTTCAGTTGATTTATATGATCTTGTATATATTTATTTATGTTACATTATTTTTAGATTTTTGAAAGAAACTGTTCTGCATCAATAATTAGTTTGTTGTTTTCTTGCTAAGAAACATGAAATACATTTACTCTGAAATCAGAGGTTCAGACTACTGTAACATGTACCACATGCTGGGATAAGTGGAAAGTTTACACCACATGCTGTGGTAAATGATAAGTTTGGACCATGTGTTTCTCAAAACAAACAGTTTACACCACATGGTGTGCTTAGTGATAAGTTTGGACCATGTGTTTCTCAAAACAAACAGTTTACACCACATG